GAGAGTGAAGAACAGCCAAGCCACTCGCTCTGCCATTTCATGGTGAGGGGAGGAATTTGTCTGTCTATCCCTTCCAAGACTTGCAAGACATCCCCGGGCTCTAAATGGACTGATTTCCAGTCCTCCTAGGCCTTCCAAACTGCCAAGAAGGTGGCTACAGGTAGCCATGGTGAGGCCAGAGTCGCTTATCAGCCACTTCCTGGGTCTCTCCCACACCTTCGGGACCACTCACCTCAATGTCTCATTGACTACAACAGGTGTTAGCCCGGTAGGGAGGGGCCCCAAGGGAGATTTTCATTGGTGAGGTCCCCAGGTTAAAGAATGCAGGTATTTACAAGATGTCAGCAACAACAGCAGGCAGCATGGAACAGAGCAGAGCACAGCACAAAAGCAGCCTGCATTTTTATCATATAATTCTTACACAAGTTGTTATCACATATTTACATCCTTGCATAGTTCTGTAACCAGTGCATGCGTGCTTACCTGTGCTAAGTCATGGTTACATAACTGTATCCTGCTGCACATCTTTGCTAGACAAGCAGGGCTACATCCTCAGATGTCCCTAGATACCCCTGAGCTTTGAAACAGTCTGAGTGGTTCTCTACACTGTTTTTGGTGGTACTGGAGATTGAACCCAGGACCTTGTATAGGCTAGGCAAGTGCTCTGTCACTGAGGTACAATCAAGCCATGTATGTGATTTAATTTTTTGTGTCTCCCTAAATGTGCTCATAATGGCCCTGAAGTTTTGATCCTCCTACCTAAACCTTGGAGTACCTAGGATTACACACTATGCCACCATGCCCAGCTCCCAAATTAGATCTTTCTCTCTTTTTTTTTTTTTCAAGTTAGATCTTTCTCAAGAGCATTTTGGGTACTCAGGGACCTTGTGTTTCCACACAAGCTTTTAGATAAACCTGACATTTTGCTCAGAATTGCCAGGTGGAACTTGCTAGAGATTGAAGTGAGCCTGTAGACTGATTCACAGGAGGTTGCCACTTTATTTTTTAATAACATTT